ACAAGTGCCTTACTAGTAGTAACAAGTGCCTTACTAGTAGTAACAAGGACGCTACTAGTAACAAGTGCTTCGCTACTAGGAACAAGTGCCTTACTAGTAGTAACAAGGACGCTACTAGTAACAAGTGCTTCGCTACTAGGAACAAGTGCCTTACTAGTAGTAACAAGGACGCTACTAGGGGCTCCTGGCATCGCTACGAACGGAGCAAGAACGCTGCTATGGTTTTAGCGTTCAACATCGAAGCCGACTCGCACCCGTCCTGTGCCCTGGATCGCTTCAGCGCTTTGGAGGCAGAGCTCAGCTTTTTCTCCTGTGCCTGAAACGAACTCGAGGCCATCGCTCTTTAGGTTCGGAGGCCATTTTAAACGCAACGCCGTTTCAACACTTTCTTGTCGGAAACTTCTCTTAAACTGTCCGGCAATGTCTCCCGACGATCCTCCATGTGTTTCTCCATTTCCTTCTGCTGCTCCTGCGGAAACCATGGCTGTGATTGTTTGGCAATTGAGCCGAAGGCAAAGCCACATGCAAAAGCCTGGAGCTTTGTGAAGACGATCTCCCTCGCAGGCTTCCGAAAATAACACAATGTTGTGTGTGTGTGTGCATGATCGAAAAACCTTGCTGAAAACTCCAGAACAATCATGCCTTGAGGATGGCGGTCTTGCCTAAGCATTCGGATGCCAATAAAAACTAAAGCTCGTCCGAAGTTGGCAAACTCTTGATAACAACTCAACCATCTACTAAACAACCAATTGAAAAGACAAACCAATCCAAAGTCACATGGGCAAGCACTGGGGGAGGCTCGAGGCATTCCTTTTCGAAAAAACCGAAGTCATACATGGACTCCAGCTCCAACCTTCGCGAGAGAATCACAAGACATGTTTGAAAATGTTGACGCAGCAACGTGTTGTCCGTGTATGTTATGTGTTCAATTGCAACGAACAGATTGCATTCCTTGGGCAAGTCTTGTCCAACAAAGAGTTCTGGATTTTAAGCTTATCTATCAACAGACTGCGGTCACTGCATGGTTTTTGCGACACCTGAGTTCACTTTTAGATTCCTTTCTCTTTGGGAAAAAAAATGAGAGGCCATGCGTTTGTAAGGCCGCCCCGTTCGTAGAAAGAGCCACGGGCGAGTCGACTTGCCGCGACATCCATCGT